ATCCAAAAGGCTGCATGGTCCTGAAACAAACTTGTCACCTTCCCGAGCCCATCGGAGCAGAATTGAAGGGACCTTCCCATGCTACGAACCAATCTCACCCATCGGAGCAGAATTGAAGGGACAGGATGCACATTCTGGTCTTCTTTCTTGCCCTAAAAGACGCTCATCTCTCTTTTCCCGAGAATGTAAAGAATTTTCGAGAATGCGCTCTCAGACTTCTCCTGCTCCACGGTAGTACAAATTACCAACGACACACGAAAATTTGAGGGAGATTAGATGAAAAGAGGAGACACCCAATTGGCCCTGGACTCAACAGATGCAACAGCGTCACGGCTTTGCCATGGACGACAGCTTCCCTTGGCAATATCTCAGCTTCCCAGGGTGGTTTCCAAACGTTATCCATGCACAGTGATCATGTTCGTCCGATATGAATCCAGCGGTTGCCATTGCTCTGTAGCACCGTGGCATGAGAGGAGAGCACATCCAAAGGCAAGAAACACGAGTCTGTTTGCACCGTCCGTCCTCGGCCACCTGATCAATCAAATTGGTACTCCCTTCGTCCGAAAAAGCTTGTCCCAAACTTGTCCTTCAAATGGATGTATCTAGCACTAACTTGGTGTTAGATACATGCATTTGAGGGACAAGCTTTTTCGGTCCGAGGGAGTACCAAATGGCAGTGATGCGCCGACAGTGACGGCACCACGCGCTCGCATCGCGTTCGCATGTATGGCAGCAGATCGGCAGTGACAACTCAACTACAGCAAAAATGATACCAGTAGTAGTATGCTTCTAATGGAGTTCCTGTAGAAATATCTCGTCATGTTTGTGGTGGGCCGGGATCGGAGTTATGCAAATCGCAAGGCCCAGTACCTCCATCTGCTACGAAACACAAGGCACATCACATGTCAAGGCAAGAGACCACTAGATATCCAACCAAACCCCAGGACAAAAAGACCAGCAAGGATCCAAGAGGATTGAGGCTGATGCTGCAAGTTGACAGCAGAGGTGGAGCAACAACAACAACAACAAAAAAACAAATCACCAGATATATTTTTTTACGCAATGGGGAAGAGAAACGAATAGAGAGCAGAAAACTCAAGCCCCGACCAGGAGCCATGTAAAAAAAAGCCAGTATGTTACACATGTAAAGGTTTGAAGCTGATGCTGCAAGTTGACAGCAGAGGTTTGAAGCTGATGCTGCAAGTTGACACATGTAAAAATTGTTGTTTTATTGTATCGTATACTACTCTAAGTGGAAACATTCCATCCAGCGAAAAATTCATTGGGTTTGGATTGATTGCGTCTG